AATTATTACTTCAGATGAAAGTCAATTGGTTTTAATTAGACAGTGTGCTAAATATATATAATGCACAGTTGAAAATCTTTGAAGCAATTCTTAAATTTCAACCAACGTATTGCAGACACTTATATAGGTCAAGTAGATTTTAATTAAATTTTATTCGAGGGAAAATTTCAAAAGCTGTCACGCTAAACTTGAAGTTTTGCAGTTTGATTTTTATGCTCGATTTAAGCTCATATGCTAAAAAGAACACTATTCACTGTCTCCAATCACGAAAAAAATTCTAGTTTCAAAAATGGATTCGATTTTTTAGATTTTTCAGGGGCACAAGTTTAACCTATTGCTCGAGTTTTTTAATTAGGTTTTTTTCTCACAACAAACTTCCTTGTTATTAGTTTTTTCAAATTCAAGGATCTTTAAGGCCATTTATTTTTGAACAACTTTGAAAGTTTAAGGTTTTTCAATACACAAATCAGTTTTTTTGCTTGCAATAATTGAATAATAAATTGGTGATTGTTCGCTATATTTTACAATTCTCTATGAAAAACGCGTAAGTATAAATTAAAATTATTAATTTTTAGTTTCACTTTTTTTCCTGCTTGCTTGCAATTGTTGATCTACAGAAAAGCTATGATAGTTAAATTCGATAATGACAAGAACCGTTTTTGATCCAAAAATTGTCAATCTTTTATTTTGAAAATAAATCTAGTTCATTGATAAGATGAGCGCGGTAAGCAAAAGCTTGAAAAACTTCTTGAATCAAGGAAAGTTAACCTGGAAATTGTTGTGTTTAAATGAACACAAACGGTACAAACAACAGACCTGATTTGAATCTGATATCAGTTGCTAAGTTACTATATGAGGTTTCTTTTTCGCTATTTTTGTTATTTGAATAACTATTTTGAAGATAAAAATATCTGGAGAGGTTCAGGTTTTCACTCTTAACTAATTTGTACAACAAAATTTTTCAAAAAAACTTTCTACGTATTTTTTATTGTTGTACTCGTTCAGATAGTTTGTGGAAAGAATTTGTTTTTATTGAGCTTCAGTCAGTTCAACTATACTAAGCAAGCTATTTAGCGCCTGAAAAAAAATCCAGCAATTTCAAATTGAAACGAAATAGAAATATTCAATTCAAGATTGGTAACCAATATGTTTTTTGAGTTTGAAACCAATTATTGAATCAGAAGCTAACAATTTTTTTTAACCAGAATATAGCAAACTTACTGTTTAAAAAAAACAAACAGAGACCGAAAACAATTGAGTTCCAATTTCAAAACAAAAAATTTATTATTTTAGAGCTCTGTAAATTTCCCTAATTTTATAGAGTACCAATTTTTGATAAAACTAATTTAATTCGAGAAATGTTTTTTGAATTCCACTCGGAGTTTTAACTCATAAACCACCGTTTAGAAAAAAGAATTAACCATGTTGTTAGAGCCACGCGTTATTGGGGAGCGTTGTTTACCTTCTTCTATGCAAATGATATTGGATTAAACTTAAAAGAGATAAATATATATTAACAAAAAATTAAATTTGAGCGTAAACAATTCTCAAGAATTTTTACTGGAAAAAATTTCAGAGCCAACAGAAGTATGGCAAAGTATGAAAACAAGGAAACTGAAAAAAATTGTTGAAACTTTTGCATTAATATGATGAAAAATATATATCAAACTAACGCTAATTGAATTTCAAGAACACTTTATGATTGATACTTCATTGATACAATTAGCCCAGTTTATGAAAACTGGATCAATGGAAAAAATTTTAATTAAAAAGCGACCAGGTTGAGTTCATCTATGAAGGAATTCTTAAGTTTCAACCAACGTATTGCAGACAGTTATATAGGTCAAGTAGATTTAGCTGAAATTTTATTTGAGGGAACATTTCAAAAGTTGTCACGCAAAACTTGAAGTTTTGCAGTTTGATTTTCATGCTCGATTTAAGCTCATATGCTAAAAAGAACACAATTCACTGTCTCCAATCACAAAAAAAAAATTGTAGTTTCAAAAATGGATACGATTTTTTAGATTCTTCAGGGACACAAGTTTAACCTATTGCTCGAGTTTTTTTAATTAGGTTTTTTTCTCACAACAAACTTCATTGTAATTAGTTTTTTTAAATTCCAGGATCTTTAAGGCCATTTATTTTTCGAGCAAGTTCGAAAATTTAAGGTTTTTCAATACAGAAATCAGTTTTTTTGCTTGCAATAATTGAATAATATTTTAGTGATTGTTGGCTAAATTATACAATTCTCTGTAAAAAACGCGTAAGTATAAATTAATTTTTAAAAATTTTTCGTTTCACTTTTTTTCCTGCTTGCTTGCAATTGTTGATCTACAGAAAAGCTATGATAGTTAAATTCGATAATGACAAGAACCCTTAGTGATCCAAAAATTGTCAATCTCTTATTTTGAAAATAAATCTAGTTCATTGACAAGATGAGCGCGGTAAGCAAGAGCTTAAAAAAACTACTTGAATCAAGGAAAAATTACCTGGAAATTTTTGTGTTTAAATGAACACAAACGGTACAAACAACAGATCTGATTTAACTCTGATACCAGTTGCGAAGTTACTATATGAGGTTTCTTTTTCTCTATTTTTGTTATTTGAATAACTATTTTGAAGATAAAAATATCTGGAGAGGTTCAGGTTTTCACTCTTAACTAATTTGTACAACAAAATTTTTCAAAAAAACTTTCTACGTTTTTTTTATTGTTGTACTCTTTCAGATAGTTTGTGGAAAGAATTTGTTTTTATTGAGCTTCAGTCAGTTCAACTATACTAAGCAAGCTATCTAGCGCCTGAAAAATTAATAAATTAATTTTTTAAAATTTTTCGTTTCACTTTTTTTCCTGCTTGCTTGCAATTGTTGATCTACAGAAAAGCTATGATAGTTAAATTCGATAATGACAAGAACCGTTTTTGATCCAAAAATTGTCAATCTTTTATTTTGAAAATAAATCTAGTTCATTGATAAGATGAGCGCGGTAAGCAAAAGCTTGAAAAACTTCTTGAATCAAGGAAAGTTAACCTGGAAATTGTTGTGTTTAAATGAACACAAACGGTACAAACAACAGACCTGATTTAAATCTGATATCAGTTGCTAAGTTACTATATGAGGTTTCTTTTTCGCTATTTTTGTTATTTGAATAACTATTTTGAAGATAAAAATATCTGGAGAGGTTCAGGTTTTCACTCTTAACTAATTTGTACAACAAAATTTTTCAAAAAAACTTTCTACGTATTTTTTATTGTTGTACTCGTTCAGATAGTTTGTGGAAAGAATTTGTTTTTATTGAGCTTCAGTCAGTTCAACTATACTAAGCAAGCTATCTAGCGCCTGAAAAAATATCCAGCAGTTTTAAATTGAAACGAAATAGAAATATTCAATTCAAGATTGGTAACCAATATGTTTTTAGAGTTTGTAACCAATTATTGAATCAGAAGCTAACATTTTTTAAACCAGAATATAGCAAACTTACTGTTTAAAAAAAACAAGCAGAGACCGAAAGCAATCGAGTTCCAATTTCAAAACAAAAATTTTATCATTTTAGAGCTCTGTAAATTTCCCTAATTTTATAAAGTACCAATTTTTGATAAAACTAATTTAATTCGAGAAATGTGTTTTGAATTCCACTCGGAGTTTTAACTCATAAACCACCGTTTAGAAAAAAAGATTTAACCATGTTGTTAGAGCCACGCGTTATTGGGGAGCGTTGTTTACCTTCTTTTATGCAAATTATATTGGATTAAACCTAAAAGAGATAAAATTATATTAACAAAAATTAAATTCGAGCGTAAGCAATTTTCAAGAATTTTTACTGGAAAAAATTTCAGAGCCAACAGAAATATGGCAAAGTATAAAAACAAGGAAACTGAAAAAAATTGTTGAAACTTTTGCATTATTTTTATGAAAAATATATATATCGAACTAACGCTAATTGAATTTCAAGAGCACTTTATTGTTGATACTTCATTGATACAATTAGCCCAATTTATGAAAACTGGATCAAGGGAAAAAATGTATTTATTCCACTGGGAAATCTAAAACTGAAACCAACTTTCGAAGTTGCGCCATTTAAGCTTTGTAATTAAAGAGCGCATTTTTTCTTTTAGCATATGAATTTGAATTAAAAAATCGCATTTATTTCCAGGTGCATTCAAAAATGCAGCTCTTAGTTTTTGAATTGGAATTGAAAAGTCGCATATGTACCAAGGGGCGTTCATAAATGCAGAAATATATATAAATGCACTTTTGTACTGGTAAGGGCGTTTTAAGACTTCCTGAAAAAAATATAGGCAAAAAATCATCAAAATCTATGTAAGTTAAAATAACTTTGTTTTTACACTTAAAATTCAACACGATATAAATGAATCTTCCCCATAACCTTAAGTTTTTTCACTAAGTTTATAGGCACTTAAAAAATTACTATGCAAAGTATTTTGTAATTTGCACAATTTTGCTTAAGTTTTATCTAAAGAGTACAAAAACTTGCAAAGATTATAGCGCGCAGACAGGACTTCCAATGTACGATGGTGAATCGGGAAACAAAAATCTGGTCAAAAGCTTTTCGGAGATTCCCGAACGCCAGATCCTTTGTTTTAGTGTGCAGTATGGGAATCGAGAGTCAGATTTTTTGCACAAGAAACGAAGTATTCGGGCTATTGCAAAGGGAATCCTAAATCATATTAGGGAGGATTACAATTGTTGCCAAATGCATGGAGTCCTTCTGCACAAAAACTCTTGCTAGAGTCTTGCAAGATGTTTAATCGAAGGTGTAGTGCAATTTTTGGCTGAAATAATCAATTGGAAAACTTTTTGATCAGTCCCAAAAATGTGGGTTGATTTATCTGAAGTATTTCCTAGACGAGTTTTCTGTTTGACACTTTTGCCACTGTTTCTGCTTCTTTCGCCTTCTTCAATTCTTCGCTTCTAGGCAAACTAAGCAAGAAAAAAATTGAGAGAAATAAGAAGGTCTAAAACATTAGTATAATGAATCAGAGTATACTTACAAATTAGCAATATACAAGATACTGAAAATAAACACAATCATTCTAGACTTTAAATCAAATGTAAAAATTGCTAATGAAACAGTAAATTAAAGCAGTCATGTTTTTATCCAATTGATGTCATCAGGCCAATCCTTGTAGTCAGTTTTGAGTAAGTTGTGTAATTTGTCAGATCCAACTACAGTTGGAACGTAATTCAATCTATTCATTAATCTGAAGAATCTTTCTGTTTTCCTATTATCTAACATTCTCTTCAATCCCGAAAACTCCATCTGAATAAAAGGCACTGATATTTGAGTGAGGAACTTCTCCCCTCCTATAAACACAGAAGGTTCCGAGCCTTCACAGTCGATTTTGATGATGGCTTCTGTCAGGCCCCGTCGCTCAAAGACTGGCAGAAGGTCGTCTAAGGTTGCAACTGGCGAGCTCTGAAAGGAATTAATTTGCTCAAGGTCAATTTGGGATGTTTTTCTAATTAAAAAATAAATAAATTCAGGTCCACTCAAAATCACAGCTGGTAAAACTGAAGCAAAAAATCTTAATATTGAAAATTGATTTCACGCTGAATCAAAAGTGCAAGTAATATTTTATCACTAAATGAATGTAGAGGGTGGTAATTGAAGCTGCTATTAGCATCGCTGTAATGTTTGTCTGATTTACTGATTTAAGATCATTTATCCACGAGGGATAGGACCAACATACGAGCTGTACAGATCATCACGGCGAACCGCTGTTGTGCCCCTGCTTTTAAGAACTACATGCAATTTTTTTTGGTTATTTTTCTGGGCTGGGTAATGTTGCCTCACCCTCAAGCAACGAGCACGGATCATGGTGGGCCTCGAACATCCGACCTTTCGATTGAGAGGCGGAGACGTAACCACTTCACCACTGCTCACTTATAAAGCTATCTTATAAAAACCAAACACAAAATCTTAGAATCATTTTTTTTTTCAATTCTATGTCAACTCTTTTTTGTATCCAAGATGGCAAGAAGTTATTGGGGGGGGGGGGGGGTGCGGGGGGTTAAACTTGGCATTTTTAGTCAGTCTTCAGCTTACCTCACTGTCACATTTGAACCCCACGATGACTGGACTGCCTCCTAAGTTGGTGGGGTTGACCCTTGACTTCGCACACTTGTGTCTCTTGTCCAGAAGGGCCACTGGATAGAGATGCATGGTGCTCTGCAGGGAGTTCACCTGCACTGAGGCTGACAAGAACTGGAATGTTTTGGGGGAGGGTTCGAACGTGAATACTTCACGGCCCATCTTAGCTGCTGACAGACTGAAAAAGACATGTAATCAGGGGCGGATCTAGGATTTTATTCAAGGTGGGAGGGCGGATTTTCAAACAAAAAATTCAAAAAAACGTTGACCCAAAAATCGTGTTTTTTTGGCTCGCGGTGCCCTCTCAAAATTAGTATATTTTGGCGCCGAAGGCCTCTTTAGAAAAATTTTAGGGTCAGTCAGCCAAGAATGAATATCTCAAAATAGTACAAAGGGGGGATCCTTTGGGTCGGCAGGGGGTCGAATCACTGAAGGGGGCGTCTGCACCTCTCTTCAAAGTCCACTGGTGTATGTATTTATTAATAGTAAACCACAGTAAGATCCAAAATCACAGCTGGTTATTCTTCGGTTAACAAATCTGAATATTTACACAAGCAAAGCTTGAGTTACAGTATGGACTCTTTTGTTTCCAATCTAAGTCGCAAATATTGTTGCGACCCAAATATTGTTGCGACAAAATGTGTTCATTTTGAAAGTGTTCCATTTTGATCAATAACCAGCTATTAAGTACAGCCAGTGCTAAGGATATTAATTCAGACTATTATATTACAAATAGCCATTTAGCTTCAAGGTATGATGGATCTGTAGCGTAGAGGTAGCGAAGAAGACCCACAACAAGATAAGATGATTGGAACCTCTTCAGAATCGGATGTTTTAATGAAATTTATAGAGCGTCCGCTCTATAAATTGAGGCATGTTAGTTGATAAATTTCTTTTTTTTCAAACTGACCGGTACTGCTAATTCGTTATAATTGGTCACTTAGCAATTATGTAGACTCATAATTGGTGTGCGTCACTTAAGAATTTTTGTAGACTCAAAGTTTTACTCAATCAGTTTTTCCCAGTAGCATTATCGGTCATATTTTTGCTTCATCATTGATTTTTCTATCACAAGCTATCTTATCAAAACCAAATAGATACCAACTGCCTTGAGGGAAAGGAACAACATACGGGATGTTCAGCTTTTTACGGAGAACCACTGTTGTAACCCTGATTAAGATTTTACATGAAGTATTTTTGGTTATTTATCTAGACTAAGGTAATGTTGGGATCATGAAACATGGAGTTGCTTGATCATCGAGGGCCTCATAATTTCCATTATAACGAGAAATTTTTCACGTTGGAAAAAGAACCTCGAGCTCCAAGTGTGACGTCATTTATGTGTCACGTGGGGGAGGGGGTTTGTCACCTGAAAGTTCCCAAGTGTCCCCCTATGTCCACGAAGGCTGCCTGGGGGTGCTTGGGGATGATATTCATGAACAGGTGTCTCTGTATGTCCACTTCCCAGTTGCCATACACCTTTACACTTTGACTCACAAACTGAAACAATACTTCACACTTAATCTCAACCCTCTAAAAATCCGCTGCCTCTCACCAAAGTTAAAAGTGGTTTTTTGCGGAAAAAATTGCGGAGTTACGCTGAAAGAGTATTACAGAATACATATGAACAATTAGTCTGATAAAAAGTGAGACGCCACGTCATAAGAAATCAATTGAACGACCGTTTTAGCAGAGTTCGCGCCTTCCTATTCCTATTTGAGGGACGCTATTTTGCCGCAGACCAACTTTTTACCCTGGGTATCAGATTTGATGGAGAGGCGTAAATGGGTCGTTCAAAAATGCCTAAGCGCAAGAAAACCGAAAAATAAAAGTTTTTTCAAATTGCCGAATTTTATTTGCATTTGATTTATTTAGCTTCTTTGCAATCTTGTAAGGGGTTTAACGTCGTGTTTGCTTGAGATTTAGAGCAAAATCGGGGGAAAATTGTTTTTAATTGCTGTAGTAATGGCTTGCTTGCAAAGATTTATGTCAACAAATTGGCAGAGAGTAATTTGTTTGTTTTGATTGATGTCAGTGAATTCTACTGCTTTTGATTTCTTGTGACTTAGTTTTTACAGCTATGTTTTTTTTTGGAGGGGGTGGGGGGTAGGAAATTAGACGATAAGCAAATTAGACGGCTCCAAGAAAACGGAATTGAGACGTTAATTTTTTTTGCTCAAATGAAAGTTGATTGTAGTCAGTAAAAAAATTTTAGACACGAACAGTACAATTACGTCTAATTTCCCATAATTTTAGTTATAAATTCTTTTTCCTGGTCAAGTCTATTTTGCTTGTCGTCTATTTTCCTAGGCTCCAATGTTTTGTTTAAACCTTGCAAAACTTACCCGGGTTGAGATGTTCGACTTATGTTTCGATCGAACTCGGTCGAATAATGGATGTTGTTCAACCCAAAACCCATAGTCGAAAACACATCTTTCGATCGAACACTATTTCAAAACATAGTCAAAATCATGGTCGACACATAGTCGAACCTGATTTCGAGTCATGGTCGAACACAAAATCTAACAAGACTGCTCGTATCAGGGCGAAGCCCTGAATGTTCCGACTGCCTTTTAGGGTTAATGGAGCAGCAGTAATAACATAAAAAAATTAAATGAAATAAAATAAAATGAAATTTTTTTTTCTAAAATTTGACATTTTTATTGAAAATCATCCCCCCACACGCCATATAGAGTACAAAAAGAGAGATTTCGTTCCTTGTAACAAATAAATTATGGCAAATAAGCTTCGTTTAACCAATTTGGAACGATTTATAGGACGGATTAAATCTCCGCTTACGCGTTAATAGCGCGAATTATATCGCTCGTTAATTGTCCCAAATTGGCCAAAATGGCAACCTTTAAACCCCCATAACTTTACGAAAAATGATCACAGGTGAAATATCTTTTCAAATTTAAGCTCAGGACAACAATACCTTTTGAATGATATAAAAAAATTCCGTCAAAAATGGCTTGTTAAAAAGTCGAAATTTGTCTGAAGAAAAAAAAAACCCACCCCGAGCACAAATATTCCGTTACTTTCGTATCGAAAGTCGGAACAATAATCTAATAAGTAACTAATAATGAAGTTTTGATGTACTAAGAAGTCAAATTTCAGATTTTTGACACATCCAAATCGAAAAACATGATTAGTCTTCAAAGTTTAGACATGTCAAAACTGAAATATTCAACTTATTTTACTAGTTAGTGGTGAAAAACATCAGGGTAGCGTAATTTCGAAATGCATGAATTGTACAGAATCTTTTCAATATTTGGTCGAAAAATAGCCAGTTTGCGTCGTCGGTCGAAACATAGCACGCTTGTGTCGAACACATTTTTCCTTAGGCCGAGTCGATCGAAAGATGGCACTCGTGCGTCGAACACATTTTCGTTCTGTCGAGTCAGTCGAAACATAGCCAATTTGGGTCGAGTCGGCCGAAACATAGCGTGCTTGCGCCGAACACACTCGAACACATTTACCCTCAGTCGAACCATAGTCAACTTGGGTAGAGTCGGTCGAAACTTAGTTGGATTCCATCGAAAACAGTCGAACACATTTTACCTTTGGTCGAGTCGGCCGAAGCAATGCCAACTTAGGTGAGACGGTCGAAATATCCATTTACGGTCAAATGGGTCAAAAAATAGCCATAATTGGTCGAGTTGGTCGAAATATAAGTCGAATACCTCAACCCGGGTAGTTTTGAAAACAATTTCTGGCCTTCTTGAATACTTTCCTTTACTAAAATCCTCACTCTTGTTTTTCGGCACCCTTTAACCCAACCGCCTGAAGAGGCGCTTAGTCTCTTTGAGTTTCCTTTTTTGAGACAATTATATTGTGGTTTGTCACCATTTTTTTTAAATTTCCAAAACAGATACCAAAAAAAACATTTACTTTCTCCATAAATTTGAATAACTTATCTTTTGAAACATACAATTTAAATATGTTATATACACCAAGGAACAAGAGAGTTTCACTTCGATATTATGAGAGAAGCTCACTTTTTTTAAACTCAAGTCTCAGCTTTCTATTCAATTTTTTGTTCAATTTTTTTTTGCAATTTAAATTTATTTAGCTATTTCATTCAGCATTAGCTAGACTTTTTGGTTCCACTTATTGGTCGACCTTAAAAACCATTGAAATCAGCAAAGTTTTCGAAAATCGTTTTGTCGTTTTTAGTGACGCATGTACTGCGGATGTCAACCTAATCCGGCTCACAAATCTTTGCAAATTGTATTAAAGCAAGTTATTCGACCAAAAAAACTGCGCTAAAAGACGCGAATCGGACTTTTTTGCAATGTGTATAAGGGAAAATTACGTCTAGGGTAAAATTCTTCTAAAAGATAAAGATCGTCAAAACTTACAAGAAATTTTGATTTTTCAACCCTCGACTGATAAAATTCTATGTTCACACAAATTTTGCCGTATATGCTCCATTACTTTTTTTGACGATTGAGGAAACAAATATAAGATCAGGAATAGAGACTTGGAAAAATTTCAATGAGATCAGGGAAATTCTTGTGAACATTTTTCAAATTTCGAATTTCAGATTAAAAAGTGTACCACGTTAAAGCTCTTCAAAATTTAAGAATAATTTGTGAGTAACACTTTTTCATGAAGCTGATCGAATTAAATAAAATTGGGTCAATATGTATGCTCGTATTCAAGCTGACAAATCTGAAACTTGAACTCGATTTTTGAAAACCATGAGTGTCTATGTGTGTGTGTGGTGTGTGTGTGTGTGTGCGTGTGTGTGTGTGTGTGTGTGTGTGTGTGGGTGGGTGGGTGGGTGGGTGAGTGAGTGGGTGGGTGGAATAGTTCTTTACGCTCTCCTCCTAATCAGCGGAACCAAAATAATTAATTTTTGGGATGAGCAACCAGTGTACAGGACATGGTTTAAAATTTTTTTAATTGGGTCAAATACTCCTGGTTAAAGAGGGCAAAAATTGGAAATCACTAATTTCTGCACTTCATTTTCAGTTCATTTCTATTAGATGGTTAAAATTTAACCCTTGGATCTTCATTGATTAATATAATAGTTTTCCATTTCAGTTCAGGTCTCCTAAAATTCTGCGTTACTGAACCTGTTTAAAGCACTGTAAATGTAGATAGGTTTAAATGAGTTGTTTTTGGACAGTTGTCCATTGGAAACCGATAACTGTTATGAGAAATTCAGTATCAACTGCTGCCGAGTTTGGCTTTTTCCTCCTCTCCCACCAGCCTACCCCCCCCCCCCCTTCACACACACACACACACACACACCTGCAAAACTTTACAAATAAAAAAATTGTTCACATTATTCGATTGTTCTGAAAATTGGCATACGGACTAATTTGGCCAGTGCAAACATATTTGGTCTTCAAAAATATAACCTGGTGAAACCACTCATTACACCATAAAATTGATACTCGTGTGAGGTGGGGGGGGGGAAGAGGCGCGAGTTTTTTTTTTGACTATGGATAAATGAATAAATAAACAAAATTAAGTTGACTAAAATAGAATCGGATCTCTTGAATATTAGTGCTCTAGAATAAAACAAAAACGATAGCTATCTTTGTGGTTGACATGACCCTGTAGGCTCTCAAACTAATATTGGCATTGGCTCTGGGTCCAATATAAAAAATTAATAAATTTTAAAACTAATAAATGATAAAAATCACTTTGTTTATCAGCGCTTAAAAAATTAGCAGATCCCTTTAACCCTCCCCCCTCCCCCCCCCTTTGCAAAATGGGAACAGATTCGTTATTATTAGGTTACAAAATTTTCATATGCTTAAACGTTGATTAAGTTTTTTTTACAGGGGGAGGGGGATGGTAAAAGAGATCCAATTCAGCTAACCATGTCCCATTCTGAATGTCTTTTTCTTTATTCTTCTTACCCTGTCTTCTGCTAATGGCAACAGGCAGATCTTTGTAGCCGAGGAAGAGGCGGGTGTCCACCTTCCAATATTCAGTTCGTTCCCACAGTGATCTCTCATGAAGTTTCTGTCAGCTGTGAAGTTTTTCCACTCCAGCGAGTCCAAATACGCCTCTTTGTCCAAACTTCGGTCTGATTTTTCCAATGATGTATAGTTTATTTTAAATCGAAATGAGCGAAAAACAAAAACTAATTTTTCAGTCACTTCATTCATGTTTTAGACATCTGAAATCTTCTAAAGAACGAGAGAGAAAATATTGTTTTGTTTTGCGAGCGTGCCAGAGTAGATTGGACGGGGTAAAGTATTGGAGCGTGTGATACTGCGCGAGCATTAACCTTGGATGTACAATGTTATGTAAATAGTTATCACGTATTATATATTATACCAAGGTTACTGAAGACCGCATTTTTTATGCAGCTGTATTAATCAGACTGCGATTTGAAACAGTGATGAATCAGCTGAGAAAAGAGAAAAAGATTCAGAACGATAAGTGGATTTTTTTTCTGAGCAATATCGTTTTACACTTGAGAGAGTTCCTCAGGTTATCACATGGCGCAGCTAGCAGGATTCTTAATGCAGTACAATCGAACGGAGATGGGAATACCGGTATTCTTGGCGACGGCAAAATCCGACCAACCGTGCCATTTCAACATCTGGCTGGAACAATTCTTGATAGCGATAACGGTCAGAGAAGATAAACCCGGAATTACTACGAGAAGATTCGAAAGAGGTACTTGAAGAACCAACTCCGAGATCAAAACCTCCAAAGAATAGAGCGGAGGCAGCTGCGACAGCAGCTATAGAATTGAGAGACAAACTCACTCTGGACAAAGTCCTGCTTGAAAACGAAGAACGCAAAGCTAAATAAGCAAAAGTAAAACATCTACTACTACGAAGTTCAGAAACCATTGGTATCACGGTTATTTCTAGTATTAGGGGCAGAAGGCATGAAAAGGTTTTTGCAAAAAACAAACGTCCAAACACCCCAAACAGAATTTACAACCAAGTGAAGCATTCGAAACGGTGCAAAGGAGAAATGTTACAAGCATTCCACGCAGCATTATCTGCACTAGCAGCCAGGTCGGAATTGGGAACTTTGGAAGACGAGTTAGTGAGAGACCTAGTTATCTTGAGGATGAAAAATGTAAACTTACAAGACACCTTAAATTTTGGAACGTTAACAACTGAAGAGGTAATGAAAAGGATAATCAAGTTCAAAGATAGCAAAAAAAAAAAACAACAAAAGCTTGTTTGGAGCAGAAACAACATCAAATTCGGCAAAGAAGTTAAAACAAGAAACACTTATGTCGATCAGGAACTCTAATAGAAGTAGCAGAAGACAACATAAAAAAGGGCACAACACGAAATCAAACAGATGTAGAAAAAATCAACAGAAAGAAAACCATGTAACACATGTAGAAGAACAATCTCAAAAAGACATCTGGAAAAATGCCCTGCTATGAGGAAACCGTGCGACGGTTGCAACTATCTAAACCACTTTGCGAAAATGTGTATCAGCGAAGTCACAGAAAAATTAGAGAGATCAGACGAGTAATGTAAGTAAGTAAGTAGTAGAAGACTTTTGCGATAAATTTGAAATCTTGAAAACAAAGACAGGCACTGAAAAACTGAGCTAAACTCTAAGTACATACAAGCAAGAAATGAAACCAAAACAAACAGTCTCGACAACACAAAGCAGGAAAAGGTTATAAATTAAACTGATCATGCGAGACTCGAAATAAAAAAAAAATCAAATTATTGAAAAAAAAATTGTCAGAATAGACGAACAAACAACCCAATTGACGGTGGATACGGGCAGCCCGGTTTTTTTTCTGAAATTGGCGTTGATGAAACAAATTTTAGACAGCTCGAAGAATCCAAAATTTATTCCGGCAGTAAAAAATGAACATGTCAGGACACTTTGTTGATTACAACAAACAGCCAAATATCGTCCTGGGGGTTCTGAAAACGGACTCACGATCAGCCGGATGGGAAGTGAAATGCGGAATATTCTTGATAACGGGGAGACTTACAAGATGCATCATGGGCTTGGAATTATAGAGGCAAGTCGGGACTTCAACTGCCCAGGGATCGGCCCCGAGTGAGCTGTCAAGGTTTGACGTTCTACCGTGCCAGCAGTCGGGAGGTTGGAAAAAATAACCCTATTAATTTTAAATAAGTATTCGACAGACAAATGCGGTAGAAAAACCATGTCGTAAGCTAAAAATTTAGGTAACCAATGAGTCCCATACAAGAAAAAGGGAGAATATTTCCTATACTAATTCGAGATAAAAAAAAAGCAAACAGTTCGCGGAAGGACACATTGGAAAATTGGAAAATTGCACAAGTGACTGCTTCATTCCACCGATTGTGATAACAGTAAGACAAGACCACTCGCTTAAATCGGCACTAGATGCCAAATCGAGAAATCGACAACTATGCAAAGACAAATATCAAATGACGAACATAGATGAACTGTTAGATGGAGTAGGTCAAACTGTTCTTGAACAAAAGGCCTCTATGTTGTATTTCACACTGCTCGACATGAAATATGCATTTAGCCAATTGAAGTAGGCGGTAATGCAACAAGAACTTACAGATTCCTAATATTTTTTACGGGTAAGCTGACATGCAGGCCAAATTCCGAAAAGCTGTGGATAGAATAATAAATCACGCGGAAAAGAAAACATTCTTTTTCTTAGATGACATTCTAATTTTATCGAGAAGAAACAAAATTTAGCACGAAAGTTGAAAAACCTTGACAAAGAAAACTTAGCTTTCCTGATATCGATTTTTCAATAAGAGGTCGATTGGTTAGGTCATCATTTGTTTGAATCAATGGTCACTTCTAAACAAAAAACGGGAGACAATTCTAAAGTCAAGTCCCCGCAAACACTGAAAAAATGCCGAATCGTTTATGTTGCCCTAATAAAATTAATTTCATACTGAACGCAGCAAGCTTAATTGAAAACCTGAGACCACAATCGAAAGAGGAAAATCGGAAAAAAAAATTATAAAACTTGAAACTAGCGGTGAAAGAATTTGAATGGAGAGAAAATACATGGTCATAATTGAAAACACTAAGCCTACAGTAGCGACCATTCCAAAAATCAATTAGTGTGGTTCGAAAAAAGTTACAAAAAGTAAATGTGAGGCTAAGTGGATAACTTATTACCTGAGTCAAAATATCTTGAGTGGAGTGGACTTAGAAATTATAGTACCAAATTAAGAAATCCCAGAATCCAAGTTAGACGAAAATTTCGTCGTTACAGCTATCAAACGAGTTCAGGCAACATTCGACTGTCTGAGCAGTAGCTTAGTAGAGAGCGAATCAATCAATCAGAACGAAACTGTTCTAGAGCAATCTAGAAGCACGCTTCCTAAAAAAGTGCTATAAACGTCATCGCAACGAAATCCTTCAACATCGAAGAAAGCTCAAAAGGAACGAAAGAAAAACACTTTATCTCAGTTTCACTACGAATAGAAAAACAATTATTTCAATTTCACTACAAAAATCAGTCAACCAGAAATCCAAAGAAAATAATAGAATGAAATGAGCGAACAGAAACTTTAGCGGATGAAACAAAATCTCAGAAAAATAGTGGAGAAAAGAAAGTCGAGAAGAAAAAATGATGAACTCGAATCGGAACAGGTCAAACAGCAACTTAAATGCAAGACGTTTTGGAGGAAGAAGAAATTTCAAAAACACTCCAGCGCACTGGAGAAAGGATCTGGGAAGCCAAAAAAAATCGAAAACGTTCGTAAAGCGAGATGAGACAACAACAACAACCACGAGTAAAGTGGACATTGTTCAAAAAGATTGCAGATATTAGACTATTATCCTAATGACAGCTAGTCGAAAGAGAATCACGTGAACCAACCCGAAATACACTGGAACAGGAAGCAACGAAGGAAAAGAAGAAAGAGTTTCTAATTGCGAAAAGAGAAGGACCTGTTACGTCGAAGCAATCTGTTACGTCGAAGCAAGGAACAATCAGAGAAAATGACGTGGATCTGACTACAAAACAAAACAAAGGTAACCCGCAAAAACTCAGCGTAGTAGAGCCAACCCGAAGGGAGAGCCAAATGTCCAAAAAATACAGTTTCCGATTGTTTGAGCAGATGGGGAAAGGAATCTTGTCAACTCTCACTACAGTATTCAACAAAAGCTGGCTGGCCGAAATGGCATAGGAAACCTGCTGGCTGGACCGTCTACGTCACGTAGTGGAGCGAGGGGACAAACAGGGTCTCGAGATGATGAGACATTTTACCTACTCGCTGTGGAACCAAAAGACAGCAGCGGACGACTGCGTTTTGGTGGCTAGTCGAAGAGCTGTTCCAGTGTAGCTACGAATAGCAGTAAGGAAAAGAATACACAAGGGGCACTCGAAACAGGAAGCATTGTGTGTTGGCTCATACTTAAGCACATTGAAAGCTTCTCGGAAGAGTGTCGCAGTTGCATTAGATATGGTAGGAACCCTTAATACGTAACTAAGAATAACTTCACTAAGCCACTACCACTGCTTTTATAGCCGGGCCAAAAAGATCAATTAGACTATACAGGACCAATAAAAAATCGTAGTAGCAAGAAATACCGACTCGCGGCAATAGATAGATTTTTGGTAACTGAGTCGGTAATGGTAACTAAATCAACTAGCGGCAGGACCACAGTAAGATTCCTGAGCATGCATTGATACACATGGACTTCAAGAATCAATAACAACAGATCAAAACTTTGGTAAAAAAATACATGGAAAAATTTGGTACCAGATACAACATCGAACAAAAATTCTGTCCAATGGGAGACGACAGAGGGTTTGGATTAGTCGAACGAACAATTCAAACAATAAAAAGACTTGGAGTTATGTTATCCGAAAAGAATGAACAATATATTAAACTCAGATTTAGTAATTTTAGGAGGGAATTGAGATAGAAAAAAAAAACAGAAAACAAAATAAGTCTCGCCGTTCAAAGCAAATTTTGGAAGATAACCGAAAAATGAATTTGAAATTATCAGAGATGAACGTTTAATAAATATTCTGATCATTTCAACAAAAAAGCCTAAAGATATACGCACTATTACACAAGCAAAAACCAGCCTGCCACAAGAACTGACAAGGACCAAGTAAAAACCCCACAGCAGAACAAAGAAAAAAAACAACAAAAGATCAGCGAACCCAACAGATTAGGAGAAAGTGACTCGGAGGATCGTCCACTCTGCGAGCAGCAACAAAAGACTTTCCAGTGGACAATTGTGACGTCAAGGGAAACAGAAGCATGAGAAAGCTTGAACTTGTTAATTCGAAGAGCAAAACCTAATACGGGGGACCTAAATTGGTGGGCCCCAAAACACAAGAGGAAGTCCCATTTGTACTAAGGTTCATTTGCACTAAAAAAAAATCGGTTCTATTGCGATTGCCCACCGTGTTCACGCCCGCCTCTTAGGCCGTTCCACCTCAAATTTTGAGCGTGAACGATTGATTTTACAATGTTGCAAGTGAATACTAAATATGTAGAATTAAAATACCACCATCATTAGGGTTGTGCGGACATACTTACTAGTAAGCAAAATAAGACTTATTACTAGTAAGTTGAACCAAAATGAAATTTTTGAAAAAAAATGAGGCTCAATTATCAGTCGAAAGAGCAGAAAAACTTGTTTTCATATACTGCAACGCTGCTTCACTTGATAATATTTATCATAATGATTATTTAGCGGATTTTGCGTTTGTTTAAAATGAATAGTCTTCAAACTTGGTAGTTTCAAGCAGATTCTGAGTTTTTGAAACTTACTAGTAAATAAAAGTAACTTACTAGTAAAAAAAGTGGTAACTTACAAGTAAACGACTTTTACTTACTAGTAACTGCACAACCCTAACCATCATGAATGCCCAACTTCGAAACAATTGAGCACTGTTAGTTAACGATGATAAAAACGGACCCCCAATGTCTAGGACATGGGGGTCTTTTAGGACATGGGGGGTCCTCGGAAACATAATGTGCATTTGTGTTTGAAGCTATTGCGGGAATCATTTCTCATACTTACTTTTTCATCGACCTAACTATCATACTTGTACACAGAAGCGATCCAGACTTGTCTCGAACTCGAAGAGGGAGGGGTAAATTTTCAAAAAAGTGTTCAAATTTTTTTCTTTTAGATCGACCAAATTGAATTTTCGGTAGCTTTATTGCGTCAAAGACCTGATTTTGCTAGAACAACTGGGTGCCTCAGTAGAATTTTTGCAAAAAAAGTTCCAAAAATCTTACTATTTGGTCAATTTGTAATTTGGCGTCGATACTTATTGTTCCGACTTTCGATGCGAAAGTAACGGAATATTTGTGCTCGTTTCCTATTTGTACATCATCACTGGTTCCGCACTTGTCATGACCACGTGACTGAAATATCCTTTTCGGCTGTAGATTGATCCATTAATTTTGAGCGACTCCGATCGGCGACCGCTTTCGAAATGTTTGTAAAATTCGTCTGCCGATTCGTGTTGTGGTATTGCATACTGCAAGTATCCCAGATGGACGAAATAAAAAATAAGAATAAAAGCGAAAACAATCAAAAAGAATAAATTACGTGTACTATTTTTCCTGCCGCTGTAACGAAATGGCATTTCAATGCAATGGATAAAGTATAAATGAACGGGAAAATAAATGCAAAATATGGGTAAGTGTAGTTGCGATTGTGTGTGACTGACTATTTATGCCTCTCAAATATAGACATGGTTAAGTCAAGCTAAAGTAAAGTAGATGGGAAAATTCCTAGGGAATGGACCGGTCCCTGGGGGTCTAGCAGACATCAAGCAGACAACTTTATTTCATATTGGTCAAAAAAGAGACAAATTTACCAACTTTCAAATCTGATTGGCTGAACAAAATCACGCAGGGTTTTTTTGTAATCTTTTAGCAAAATTTGTTAAATTTTTTTTAACAAAAAAACGATTATTATTTAAGAGATATGAGTTTTTGCGATCATCATCATAGTTCTATCATAGTTTTTTGGCAGCCAATTTCGCTTGGTCGGTGAGGAATGAAGTTTATAATTTTGGCTTGCCTGTATGTCTGTTTTCTAGGTTTTTCGGCTGACTGACATATCTATTTGCTTTATAAGGTGGCTTAGTCGTCTAGTGGCGGCGGGCGAGCACTGAGCAGAATTGATATCTAAGCAGAAATATTCTTTGAAATTACTAGTGGTATGTATAAATTATTCATAAATTCAGTAAAAGCATCAAATTTTGTTGAAACTCTTTGAAAAATTAACTCAATCAAATTACTCTAATTCAAGTATAAACTATTCATTTCATTTGCAATATTGAAAATTCTTAAAATCGTTTTCATCCTATAGCCCATAAAAATCAACATTTTTTTCTGCTTTTAGACATTTTCTGCTTTCAGATCCTTTCTGCCCTTAGGCCTTTCGGCTCCGTGCACCCTCCGTCTAGCTTACTTAAATGCTAACTTAATATGAGCAAGCACTGCAACCTTAGTATTTTGCTGGAGAGTTGTCTTAAGCTATGGATATAAATCGCGAGTTTGTGGGTTATACATGAGCACAGCAGTTAAAGCATTTGAGCGAATTTGCATAGGAGTTTGTCTGAATTGGTATTTGCTTATTTTATTGTTGTAAAATTCAGTAATTTGTTTATCAGACCAGTAATTCTTGCGGTGTCCCGCAAATAAGGCGACAGCCGTTAAGACGACAACTGGTTTTGATGACTTTAAGACGACGCTGCGCGCAATTCTCCTCATTGTAATTCTAAGAAATTGGAACAGCTTTAATTCGAATTGCTCATTTTAAGCGTCATCAATAATTTTACAACAATAACGCTTATTTGTCGTCTTAATGTCCTGTCGTCTTATTTACCGAGCACGAATTCTCGCGGTGGGTATTCACAAGTACCAAAATGAAAAATCAGTCTCATTTGTACAAAAATAAATAATCGGTGGTCTATAAACCAGCCTAAGTATCAACCAGCCGAAAATAAGTGTTATATAATAGTTATGTTCAATTATTTAACAGTTACGAAAGTTATGCAAGTTCATATGATGTAATTTTTCAGCTGGCTTATATACTTCGGTTGGTTTATACGGGTCTAGGACAACAAGCCGACGGGACTTCAAGCCGAAGGGACTTCAGGCCGAAAATTAAACTTTACAAGCACCTCAAATCATTATTTTTTCATCTGTAAAACGTTGCTTGTCAAAATCATCGGTTATTTTACTCCATAATAAGCGTTATTTATGACAATGAATCACTTGGGATTGGCATCCGTTAATAATATCAGCCGGTTTTTGAAATGCATAAATATAGACAAGAAAATTACCTTCAACCGTGTTTTATTTTTCAACTTTCCTAAACATCTTTTGGAGGCTTAAACTTAATAAAAACGCTAATAATTACCGAATAAAGATCATGAAATTGGTAATTCTTCGAAAAAAGTTTCAAATTAATCATATTTCATGACTTGGAGAGAAAATTTTCGACTTGAAGTCCCTAATTTTACGATTCGGCTTGAAGTCCCGTCGGCTTGATGTCCGGCACCCGGTTTATACACAGGCGCATTTTCGGTTGGTTTATACTTCGGCTAGTTTATTTGCTTATGTAAAATGCTCTATTCTGATTGGCTGAAAATTCGGGTCTTATGCGTTAAACGGCCCAAAAATCAAATTGAAGCAAAATGAAAACTAAAACTGAAATTCGAGCAACTAGGTCAGCCATTTCGATTGATACTGAGATTAATCCTGATTGGCTCGTATAATATGTAATAACTGAATTCATTGTATGTTGATTACGTGTTTTCTATTTGAAATAAAATTTCTGACTTTTTTCCTAATTTTGGACCGTTTAACGCAATAGACCCGAAAATTCTAACTCAGAACCAAGTTAACATCCTCCCCACTAAATGGATTTGGGGGGGAAGGATGGACTAAGTTAACATCCTCCCCCCTAAACACGTTTAGGAGGGAGGATGTTAACTTGGTCCAGTAACAAAAGTAATCAACTGGCCAACGACTACTAAGCCGACTATTTTAAGCTCTTGGTGGATCTACTGAACAATTGCCCCCTTCAAGAAAGGGGACAAAGGACAATTGTTAAGTAGATTAGGTTGACGAATTTTCGACCAATCAGATATCAGCGAAATTCGAATTTTAATTACAACGCTCTTTAGTGCTAATTTAATGCTTTTATTGTTCCGACTTTCGATACGAAAGTAACGGAATATTTGTGCTCGGGGTGGGTTTTTTTTCTTCAGGCAAATTTCGACTTTTTAACTAGCCATTTTTGGCGGAAATTTTTTATATCATTCGAATGATATTGTTGTCCTGAGCTTGAATTTGAAAAGATATTTCACCTGGGATCATTTTTTGTTAAGTTATGGGGGTTGAAAGGTTGCCATTTTGGCCAATTTGGGGCAATTAACGCGCGATAAATTTCGCGCTATTAACGCGTAAGCGAGGTTTAATCCGTCATATAAATCGTTCCAAATTGGTTCAAGGAAGCTTTTATGCCATAATTGATTTGTTAATAGCCGCAAAATCTATCACTTGTACTTAATATGACGTGTGGGGGGATGTTTTTACATAAAATCTCAAATTTTTTCCAAAAATTTTTTTAATTTTTTTTTATTACATTGAAACTTTGCATGTTATTAATGCTCCATAGACCTCAAAAGGCAGTCAAGGTTTCGCCCTGATACGGGCAGTCTTGTTGGGTCTTATGCATAAAACGGCCCAAAATCAAAATCTTTATATCTTTTAGCTAAAATTAATGTGACAGAATTTGATTGGCTAATATTAGCCAATCAAATTCAAGCAACATGGTCAGGCATGTCAGTCAACTGTTCCAGCAGAAAAAAATATTAGCCGAAACAATTGAGAATGTGAATCTTAGTCAAATAATAAAACTAATTTCTCGTTTTTTTTGAAATTATACCCAAAGAAAAATGTTCAGTAAAATAGTCCAAAGCGAAAAAATTTCTATCGTTATGATCATTTCGGCCAATAATTTAATCTGCTTTAAATTTTAATTGAAATGCCGGACCATGTTGTTTGCATTTGGATGGCTAATGAACCAATCAGATTCAACCATATATTGACTTAAGATCAAGATGAAGAAATACTTATTTTGGGCCGTTTTGTACATAAGACCCCTTTTATTTATAGTTGGTTGGCCACCATTTAGTAGATACCAAAGGGAGGGCAATTATTAAGTAGAACCCTCTTGTTTTCGGGTCGCTGGTGGGAGCGCTACGCGAGCATCGCTCTTTCGCGGCGATAACCGGCTCTAATTCCGACTTGCGAAGAAATTATATATATATTTCAAAGGATTCAGTTAGATTGTTTATAGAGTTTGTTTTCTGGCGCCGCTGGTGCTGTCCAAGACCTTGGTGCCAATTGGTTAAGTACCTGTCAGCTGATGTTGTGTTTGCTCGTGATCTAAAACAGTTGCAGTACTTATAGCCTATAGAATAAGTTGGAGACTTATTGTTAACAAAATTTACTTTATTGGTTCGCGTTTTTCTCATGGCGCAGCCAGCAGGATACGGCGCAGGGACGGGGAAAAACCCACTCGGTATTACGGGACTTTGACCTAGCAAGTGCACGGAAGCACCAATGCTATGGGAGCATTGGATTACTCGTTTTACCTGTGGGGTAATAGCGAAGCATTCGTTTAATCCGACGGCATTTTATTTCGCTCGGACGTTAACTGAGGCGCAGATTGCAGATCTGCCAGCGGAAGTGAAGGGAAAAAATTGCCTGGAGGCAGAACACACATTAATTTTTAATTTTTACCTTTGCCTGGGGGTGCGCGGCCAGGATGAACTTCACAACCGAATACTCCATCTGGATTTGGCAGCTACCCGGTACCCACGAGTATTAGACGAATTCGAAAGCGTATTTAGGAAGGAACATAATGAAACGTTCGAGACGTTTCAATTATTATCCCGGAGGCAACGGGAAGGGGAGACACTGGAAACGTTTCACTCAATTTTGAGTGGATTAGCTGCCAGATGCGATCTGGGAACTCTGGAGCGACGAATTTTACGCGACGTATTTATAGTAAATATGTGCAATAAGGAGGCACAAACGGAACTCTGTCGTTCAACCAAGATGCCGGATGAAGTCTATCGTTTTGTTCTGTCATATCAGCGGGAAGACAAATACGCCAAGACGTATAAATTTTCCTGCAGTGGATTCGTGGTGGCGCCGGCTGGGGCGTTTCAGATAAAGACGGAGCCAATAAACGCCATTCGTGGTGGTTATCACCGACCGTTCCAACGAAGCGGTCGAGGGTTTGGCAGAAGAACCAATCGTGGCGGCGGAGGAGGGGACCGAAAAGGTTTTAATTGCGACCAGAGCGGTTTTACTCCGGAACATATCGGGGAGACAAATACGCCAAGACGTATAAAGTTTCCGGCTGTGGATTCGTGGTGACGCCGGCTGGGGCGTTTCAGATAAAGACGGAGCCAATAAACGCTATTCGTGGTGGTTATCGCCGACCGTTCCAACGAAACGGTCGAGGGTTTGACAGAGCAACCAATCGTGGCGGCGGAGGAGCGGACCGAAAAGGTTTTAATTGCGACCAGAGCGGTTTTACTCCGGAACATATCAAGACACTTAGCGATATGTTCCGGAGTAAAACCGCTCTCGTCGCAATTAAAACCTTTTCGGTCCGCTCCTCCGCCGCCACGATTGGTTCCCCTGCCAAACCCTTGACCGCTTCCTTGGAACGGTCAGCGATAACCACCACGAATGGCGTTTATTGGCTCCGT